CGGCAGCGACGGAGTCCGACTCGGACTCTTCGTCCGAGTCGGCGGAGGCGGCTGCGGCGGCTGGGCCCTAGGCCCAGTCGGGCGCGAGATTTTTTTATTTATAATTCCACCGACAGAAGAAAAATCCTAGAAAAATAAATAAAAATATAAAAATGCCAAAATGAATTTTCACCGTCTAAATAAAATATTTAGGACGAGTTGAACATTTACTTGGCCCTAAAATGCAATTTTGAAAACGTGCAATTTTTCTAATGCAAATAAAATCTGAATAAAACCAAATAAAATCCAATAAATGATTTTAATATTTTTCCTCCAATATTTCAATTATTTTGGAGAAGTCATATTATCTCCACTCATTTGATTTAATATGAAATATTTTTCGGAGAGAAAAATTGTTACAATCAAAATACTCGTTTCATTATTTGATAAAAATCAAATATGAAAACCGGAAAATCCCCAACTCTCTTAGTGGGTCCTTGAGTTGCTTAGGATTTCGAGGATTGCAGAACGGAAATGCAATAAATCATGATATGCATGGATGATCTATGTATAACATTCCAAATTGAAAATTTGGGATGTTACAGATCAAGAAGTGATCCTGAAACTACTTACGTTCAAGCATAACACAAGAACCGTGTTCACTTCCCGGAGTCCGTCGGAAAGAGACCATCACGGCTACACACGCGGTTGATGCCTTTTAATTAAGTTAAGTGACAAGTTTTCTACAACTAGATATTAACAAATTCCCATCTACCCATAACCGCGGGCACGGCTTTCGAAAGTTCAAAACCCTGCAGGGGTGTCCCAACTTAGCCCATCACAAGCTCTCACGGCCAACGAAGGATATTACTTCTCCCAGGAAGACCCGATCAGACTCGGAATCCCTGTTACAAGACATTTCGACAATGGTAAAACAAGACCAGCAAAGCCGCCCGAATGTGCCGACAAATCCCGATAGGAGCTGCACATATCTCGTTCTCATGGCACACCGGATGAGCAAGACGTCGGGTTGGCATAGACCCTGGTTGCACAGGGGGCACCGGGCATCGCTCAGGTCGGACCAACACTTAGAGAAGCACTGGCCCGGGGGGGTTAAAAATAAAGATGACCCTCGGGCTCGCGAAAACCAAAGGGAAGGTGATAGGTTGTTAGTGCAAATGTAAAACCAAGGTTGGGCCTTGCTGCAGGAGTTTTATTCAAGGCGAACTGTCAAGGGGTTCCTATTATAACCCAACCGCGTAAGGAACGCAAAATTAAGGAATATAACACCGGTATGACGGAAACTAGGGCGGCAAGAGTGGAACAAAACACCAGGCATAAGGCCGAGCCTTCCAACCTTTACCAAGTATATAGGTGCATTAAAGTAAACAATATATGTAATAATGATATCCTAAAAAAATCCATGTTCCAACATGGAACAAACTCCAACTTCACCTGCAACTAGCAACGCTATAAGAGGGGCTGAGCAAAGCGGTAACATAGCCAAACAACGGTTTGCTAGGTAAGGTGGGTTAGAGGCTTGACATGGCAATATGGGAGGCATGTTATAGCAAGTGATAGGTATCGCAGCATAGCAATAGAGCGAGCAACTAGCAAGCAAAGATAGAAGTGATTTCGAGGGTATGGTCATCTTGCCTGAGATCCCGCAAAGAAGAAGAACGAGTCCATGAAGAAGATAAACGGACGTAGTCGAACAAATCCTCACAACTCCGGAACGAAACCGAAGCTATCGAGAGAAGCAACCCGGAAAGAAGCAAGCAACATAATAAACAACCATCACATAAACATGGCATGATGCACAATCAAGTATGATGCATGTCCGGTTTAATGCGGCATCGCATGGCAAAGTGCACAACCAACACTACAAGTTAAGTGGAGCTCAATATGCAACGAGTTGCATATCAACGGAACACCACATCAATTATTTAGTTCTCTCCCATTTAGGTACCCAACAATATTAAAAGTTGTTAAACATGGCAAGAGATGAAGCAAAAGTAAACTACACAAACCAAGCAAATTAAATGGGGCCGGAAACATCAAACAACAATTCCGGTAAATCCTAATGTGCATTAGCAATTTAATGCAACAACAATTTAAAACATTTTAGAAGTTATTAACATGATGCAGATGCCATGTTCAAGTTTATGCATTTTTTTATGAAAATGTTGACAAGCATAATATGAAGAATTTGTCATCGTGGCGGAAACGAAAAGGGGTGCCACGACAACGAATCCGAAAATGATGCCACGGCAACATGTCGGTTCCGGTAGCTCATGGAGATACCGGTGCAAAGGAGAAGTGTGCAGATGCGTGCAAAATATGGTGGGGCGCTCCCGGATACCGGGTGTCCCATGAGTTGATGGCATGGAAGCGAGAGACACTACGAACACGATGCAGACAAAGGGGTGCATCTCATACAACACATGCAATCATTTTCGGACGGTCGTCTCGGGGTTATACCTCCAAAGCGTGCAAACGGGACGGTTCTCGTTTGGTGCAAAGTAGAGGAAGTAGATGTTCACGGGTCGTTGTGGGACGTAGTCGTTCTCGTGGCAACGGTAGTCGTTCATGTTCTTAGTCTCACAAGTTTCTGTAGATGTTCGGGGGCACGGCGAGAAACTTGACATCCACGGAGTCTTCAAGGGTCGACGGTAGTGGTACTTGGCGAAAATGCTCGTCGATGGTAGTTGTTCTCGTATCGTCGTGGTACTTGGCAATTTCAGAAACGGCGGAAGACGAACTTGGCGGTCCTCGTTGATCTAGTACTTGGCGTTATTCCCTATTTGGTGGTCATTTTAGGCATCGGGCATCGAGGTACTTGGCGGATCCGTGGTGCTCGCGGTCTTGGTCACACCGAAAGGCACTTGGCGAAACCATTCAGGGAGGAAGCATCGGAGTGCTGCTAGCAATTGGTGGAACTCCACGGTCACACCACATGGGTGTACAGAGGCAAAGCTTGTGGCGATGCGCCTATGCGGTTGCCAAAGGGAACGATGCCGGGTCGAGGCAGAAGACAGGCGACGCGGCTGTGGGAACCGGGAGGCATGGATCCAACGGGCAGGGCCGGAGACGATGCAACTGTCAAGGAGGAGTTTGGCGGAGCAGCACCAAGGCAGCAGTGAAGCTCTAACCTCAGGTCCATGGCGGCAGATACAGGCGATGGTGGTTCGAGGGGAGGCGGGCGAGCGGGAGGCTCGCAGGGCCTTGGGTGCTCGAGGAGAGGCCGAGGGCGGCTGGAACCGACTAGAGGCGACGCCCTACGGCGCGGGGACGAGGTGGCGTTGGGGGCGCTGCTGCAGACATGGATGGATAGGAGATGGGAAGATCTGGCCGGCTGGCGCTCCAGCGGGCGAGGCGGCGGCACAAGGCAGGAGGCGGCTCGGTCTACGGCTACTCGGATGCTCGGCGTGGGCGGAGCCGGCTCGAGGAAGAGGAGCCTGGCATGGCTCCCGCTTGAGGTGGCATTCCTAGAGGAGCTCGGCGGCGGTGGTCGCAGGCCGGCGCGGCGGAGGAATGGGAGGCCCGTGTGAAGGGAGAGCGACGGGGAGGCATGGGCGAGGAGATCCATGGATCAGGACGAGGTGCAGCGCTGCTCTCTCCCTGCCTCTCTCTGATGGCGCACGCACAGGAGAAAGGGATCGATGGGGGAGATGGGGATCGGGCAAGCGGCGGCGCTGAATGGGCATCGAGGGAGAGAGCGAGTGGAGGGGTCGGGGCTAGGTTAGGTGCGGTTGGGCCTTGGCCTCGGCTGCTGGGCTGAACAGGAGGCCCAGGTGGGCTACGGGGATGGATGCCTAGCTGGGTTTCCCCCTTCGTTTTCTATTTCTCACAAGAAGAAAGAAAGAAAAAACACAGGAGATAAAAGAAATGACTAGAGGAGTAGCAAAGGACTTTGGTAGGGAGAAAAATCTTTTTGGACTCACAAAAATGTGAAGGATGAAAATAAAATGGTTCGAGCATTCTTCGCGGAATTAAGATTCACACAAGGTTGAATTTCAAAACCCATTCCAACGAACTACAAATGGGTTGAAATTATAGGAGATGACCCTACACACTAGATGTGATTTATGGGCAGATGTGGAACATTTATGGATAAGTAAAATTGCAACTCAATTTTACTAAAAAGGCTCCAAAGGAAGAAAAGAAGTGGAGTTGGATAAAAAGGAAATTGAAGAACGGTGCAAATGTGTTATGGGTGAATCCAAGCCAATGGAATGGTTTAATATAGCTCCCTAAATATTAGGAGGATATGTTATAAAGAGAATCACCATGTGAATTCCCTCGGCTTAAATGGACCGAAGATCCATACGATTTATTTAGTTGAGTTGCAAAAGAATTAATGATATGATACATGATGACAAGATGCAATGCAAAATATGCAATGAAGAATGCAACGAACCAAACAAATCACATGACGAAACCCGGAATTCATGGAAGGCACCTGAAGCTCCGGTCTTGGGGCGTCACAACACTCCACCACTACGATTGGATCTCGTCCCGAGATATAGGATGGCACCGGAGGGAAAAGAAAGAGGAAGAGAAGAGGTAAAACTAAGTTGCTTCTTTGACAATTGAGTGAAACCAAAGAACCTTGCGAGGTTGAACAAATAGAAAGAAAGAATACCATGAAGATGAACAAAGTTGAAAACAATCCGTTAGAAAAGAGGAACAAGGGACCTTACTAGAGCCTTGTAGGTTGAAAGACATAAGAAAAAGTTTGCAATGGACAAGAAGTACAAGCAAGCACTTCGGTTGAAATGCGATGTACAAGGAACGATAAGGATCAAATATGACAACACTTCGGTTGGAAATGGAAGACAATAATAAGGACTTGGCAAAATGAAAGCACTTGGATGAGACTCCGGTTAGAAGAGGAATGATATCCACAACACTCCGGTTAAAACAAGATAGAGACGTAATAAGAATGATATAATTTGGACGGCACTCCGATTATAAATGTAAGGAATTAGAATCATGAACTTGACAAGATGAGAAGATACTTGATGAAATCAACAACACACTAACTCCGAAACTATTGAAAGAATGGCACAAGGGGTAAGAAAGATTTCAGACAACACTCCGGTTGAAAAGGAATGCAAAACTTGATAAGACGAGCGAACTTGAATAGAGGGCACGACACTCCGGTTGAATGGATAAGCATGTAAAGAACACGATCCTCGCAATTCGAGATCATGATTGAAAAGAGCAACATCACTATGCCTCCGGGAGAAATGAAAGAATGGAATGGAATGAATGGAGGGAAACAAGATCTTGAGAAAGCACGCTTACAACAAATGCTAGAACGGAGTTGTTGGATTATCAACAACGAAAGCATAAGTTTGATGTGGGCTAATGGAAGACATCTCAAAATTATGAGATGACCACCTGCCACTCATGGGAAAAAGATTTGATTGAGAGCTAGAAAAGATAGAAAGCTTCTCCCACCGAGGTGATAAGAAAAACTTGGATCATAGGTAATCATCACAAAGAGCAACATTCCCAATGGAAGGCTTTAGGTGAAATCTATACCAAGATACCCTCCAACGAAGAAATTGATGGTTTGCAAAGGATGTCATGAACGAATTGAAAATGATGGGTTTAAAATATGTCATTCGGCCAACTTGTGAATCATGAAACATGAAGGGGGCCGTCAAAATGACATAACACCACCTCAAAAGATAAGATAGAAAGAATTTCACTTCGGAATGCAAGATGAAGAAGCTTGAACTCCTGAAAACAAGACATGTGTTTAACACCATGTTTATTTTTGAGTATAGCTTGGTGGAACTTAACTTCGCAAGAAATCCTGAAGATCAATTGAGGAATGAAAAGAATCCTTGACGAACCACCATGTAACCTCCATGAAGAAAAACTCCGGATAGGAAATGATAACATAAAAGAATTGAAAGGTTTTAAGCGAACAAGATTGAAGTCTTGCAATGGTCAGATGGAGCTTCGCGGTGATATAAACGAGAAAACTTGGAACTCCGAAAAACAAAGATGAGCAGTTGAAACCAAGAATTTGATGAGCCCACGGAATAAGGAATTGAATCACTTGGATGAAACAAGAATAAGAATTACATTATGTTTATACTTCATCAATTAAATTGATGACAAGCAATGGATTGCATACAACTTATTCTCATAGAAAGGATTAAGATAGATATAGCGCAAACTTGAGAAGGTCTTCAACGATCCACCGGTAGGATTTGAAAGAACAAAGGAATTGATATGATAACGTAAGAAGAGGAATCTTGAACAAACCACCGTAAGAATTGAAAATGAAAGTAGCAGAGGCACAAATCACCCAGAAGAATTTGGAAAATGAATGAAGATACTTGAAGGAATTTAGATACATGAGAACGAATAGATCACGAGCTGATTAGAGAATATTTGAATGATGCACTGGTAAGATTTGGAGAATGAGAGCTGAAAGCTGCGAATGAACAAACCCGAAATGATGACATTTGGAGAATCGAACTGAAAAGACTCCTAAATTGCTCCGGATGGGTAAAAAGAATTCTCACAATCGAAAACAATTATGAGAGGATGGCATAAGGCTAGCACCATGAATCTTGAAGAGAATGGAGCAAGATTAAAGAGAAACTCTTCTTCGGTCTTCAAATGTTGAGAATGATGACGAGAACTACCACTGAGAATTTTTGAGGCACTCCGGAATAAAGAAGAATATAAAGGTTGAATCAACAATGAAATGGATTTGAAAGATCTTGGAGAAAGACATTTGACTGGTGGCAATTCATTCTTACGTCAAACTTTGAAATGAATTTTAGAATAGCTCCGAGAAAATTAGAAGAGTCCAGTAAGATCCTAGGAAAAGACCTGTGGGTTAGGGCCCACTCAAGAGAAACACTATTCAAATGGTTTTGAAGAGAGATTGCACCGATTGATTTAAATGGCTAGAATGAGATAACAACCTCGAAATAACTTGAACATATTATGAATGGAAATGTAAATCTTCTGAGATATCTTCAGCACTCCGGAACAATTGACTAGCGAGAAGTGGATGATTAAGAGGTGCCCGGCTTGGGAAAGCATTTGGAACGAGGAAAAAGGATATGATCAACAAAGCTTGAATTGAATCGTAACATCCCAAATTTTCAATTTGGAATGTTATACATTAGATCATCATTGCATATCATGTTTTATTGCTTTTCCGTTTCATAATCCTCGAAACTCCTAAGCAACTCAAGGACCTTCGAAGAGAGTTGGGGATTTCCCGGTTTTCATATTTGATTCTTTTATCAAATAATGAAACGAGGATTTGATTTTAATTATTTCTCTCCGAAAAATATTTCACATTAAAAAAATTAAAGAGAGGAGATAATATGACTTCTCCAAAATAAATGAAATATTGGAGGAAAAATATTAAAATCATTAAATTGTTTTTTTGTTTTGTTGTTTTTATTCGGATTTATTTGCATTAGAAAAATTGCATGTTTTCAAAACTGCATTTTAGGGCCAAGAAAATGTTCATCTTCTTCTAAATATTTTATTTAGACGGAGAAAATTTGTTTTGGCATTTTTAGATTTTTATTTATTTTTCTAGAATTTTTTTCTGTCGGCGGAACTATTTTTTCAAAAAAAGAGTTCCCGCGCCCGACTGGGCCTAAGGCCCAGCCGAGCTAGGCCGGCCCAGCTGCCGCCGCCGCCTCCTGCGCGCGCGCGCCGCCGCCGCCGCTGCCACTCGGACCGGAGCTCGAGTTGGACCCCGCGCTGCCCTGCCTTGGCCCCTACTCCAAGCCGCCGCCGCCCCCGCCTTTATAAACCGCCACCCCAACACCCTACCGCCACCGCCGCAGCCGCCGCCCCCGCGAGCCGCCGCCCCGTCGCCCGCACCTCGCCTCGCTGGACCTCTCGCCGGAGGTAGCCGCCGGACTCCGCCACTGGTTTTTTTTATAAAAACCGTCCGGTTTTTTAGAAACCCTAGATCCGTTTTTGGTTTCGCCGGGTTTTTCCGGTTCTTCTAGTTAACGGACGTTCGTCCGAACGTTGTTTTAACAAACAGTTCTTCGCCCATTAGATACAGCTAATGAACGCTCATACGTTAGTTTGTTCGTTAGTTTTCTTTGATCGGATTTATTCCGCGATTTTCTCTGATCGCGATTTCTGATCCGATCTTAGTTTCTGTTTTTCTTTTCCCTCGTTAGTCTGAATCAGGCGATTCAAGCGCCTGGAGTTTCATCTCGAAACCCTATTTCTGTTTAACCAACTCAAACAAGATTTTTCTACTCTAAAATTTGACCTAGTTTCAGATTAGTAAATGAAACTTCTTTCTTTCGCCGTTTGAGTTTCGTTGCTCCGTTTGATTTGATTCTTTTTGCGTACCGGAGTTCTTAATTTGAACTTTCTGGTCAACCTCTTTTATTTGAGTTTTGCTTGTGCATCGTTGCTTGTTACTTATGTATGCTATTGTTTTCTTGCGATAGAATTCCCGGAGTGCGAAGCGTGTTACTACGAGTCTCTAGGATCCGCGGATCATCAGCAAAGCAAGTAACACTTTGATCATACCCCTTTATCACCCAGTTTTTATGCATTAGTTCCAATCCTCAAACATTGCATGATTAGGATGTCATTAACTTGTGGGTTGGGAAGTAGTTGATGAGGTAGAACCTATTGCCCTGCTATATTCAAACCCTTGGGAGTTACTTCTATGCTTGCTTATAATACTATGCTATGCTATGCTCATAGACGTGGTTTGGGTTTGAGTGAAATCCATGACAGATGTGAGCTTGTTAATTAATGTTTGAACTTAAGGTGGCAACTTAAATTAACATCTGGATGGATTAAGGCACCTGGAGTACCCAGTGTTGCATGTATTTTTTTGGAAATCCCGGAGTACCCGTGTGATCTTCCTATGGACCGCCACCCAGGCTCAAAGGGAACTAAGATGATTCATGCTAGAAACTTCCGTTTGCAGCCACAAGCTATTATGGGCTCTAGCATAGTTGGATAAGTTACATGAAGCTCTTGAAGAGGCAGATCAGCAGGTAGTGGGATGTAGGTTTGGTATGGTCTGTCCGGAGTAGAGAGTTAATGTTTCTGAAAGACTGTGTCTCGGTCATCCGTTTCTCAAACACCCTGTAGTGCGAGAAAACCAACGGAGGCGATCGAGTCTTGTGGGGAAAAGTGCGCAAACCTCTATAGAGTGTACAATCTAATCATGGTTGGCCGTGTCCCCGGTTCTGGACAATTCTTCAGTATCTAGTACTTGGGTT